GACACACATGTTGATTTTCTCCATTCTTGAATGTCGCCATTAATGGAAGCACGTCAACCAATCAATTCCTCCACTTTTAGATATGAGGAAGTCGAGCTCACGTTGACCGATTATATGAACAAATATTGTTATGGAGTATCTACTAGCTAGGCAACGACCCATAGTGGATGCTAGCATGATAGCAAGCATGATAGATTGGTAGTGCACTTTTTGCATTATAGGTGCTGGAGAAAGAAACAGATAGTATAAATTAATTTCAATTATTGCCTACCAATCAAAATATGTTGTTTTAATCACAATCACAACTGTCTATTATTTTATAAATAATATGTTAGATTATTTGTCTTTGGTTCATTGCAATTTCATGAATTTTGGTTTGATTGGGTTTACGTCAAAGATACGTGCATTATTATGATACAAAATTGGTGCTTTGTTCAAGATAGGGGTAATTAGAGCTAGGGTTGGGGATTTGTTTGGTTTTCCATTGTAAAATCAAGAAGAAAGAAAACATATTTCAATTTCCACCACCATCTGAGCAACTAAGGTTCAATTTCAACCGACCAACTATAAAGGTTGTGGTTAAGTGGCAAATAATGTTTTTTGACAATATTGAATACTTGAACGAAGACTAGCAGGCAATTCTTGTTTGTATATATGTTTAATATGTATTTTTTTTGGTCAGTGAAAGAAAATTTTTATTCATCCACCAAAAAGAAAAAAAGTTATACACATCAAGATAACTCAGCAAAAGCACCGAGATTACTCTGTAAAGACAGAAAAAACAACTGCAAATCACAACATTAAGCTATCAATATCACTGCTTACTCTTGGCTTGTTAAGGATTATAATCCAAATTTTAGTTTTAATCATCTTGACCATTTGATTTGGACTCCTGTATTGCTGCCGAAAAATTCTTGCATTTCTTTCTTGCCAAATGTAGTAAATAGTTACAGTTAAAGCCAGTCTTTTCAACTTTTGTTTAAGCGCTTTCCCTCTCAACCTGATGATGAACCAATGAATGATTTGTTGCCAGCAGCATGATATCCAATTGAACCCCAACCAGTTCATAATGCTATTCCACACTTCACAAGAATATGCACATTCGAAGAACAAATGATCTCTGGTCTCACATTCAGCTCCAGAACATAGACAACAGTTATTTGAATCAGCGACCCCTCTTCTGAGAAGCCTATCTTGAGTGAGGATTCTATCTTGTAGGACTAACTAGCACATAAAAGAGTGCTTCGGAACATTGAATCCTCCCCAAACCACATTATACCATGACACTTTCTGAGAACCAGGGGATAGTGCATTATACAGGTCTGAAAGCCTTAGTTTAGCACTATGATGACATGAGTTGATGAGTTGCTTCAGATTTTTTTCACCTTCACACATAGTCATAACTTTATCTCTTGTTCTAATCAATTGCATCCACATCCATGAATCTCTTGTTTTAGATTTGACCTGCCAAATGTCTCTATGTTTTAAATAGGTTTCATGAACCTATTTAATCCACAGAGACTCTTTGCTAATATGAATATACCAGATATATCTCAGAGCTGAAGCAACATTTCACCTATATGCAGAAAAAAATGCCCAAACCTCCTTGTTTTTTATTCATGCATACTCGCTCCTATGACACAAGCGGAGCTTTAAAAGTTTGATCATTTTTACCCCACAAGAACATCCTGCAAATTTCATCAATTTTCTTCAATGCACTGATTGGTAGGATATAGTTTGAGGTCCAAAAGGTTTGAATTCCAAGAATCACACTCTTGATGACTTGCATTCTACCAGCATAAGAGAGATTCCTGTTTTTCAACCAACTTTTGAATTGACCAATAATCCTTGTGAAGAGCGGATTGCAATCCATGTAAGCCAATCTTTTTGAAACTAAAGGCACTCCTAAATACTTGTCAGGCATTATTCCAGAAGAGAATCCCAGCAGATTGTGAATTGAAGCCTTAACATTTTCATCAACACCTCCATAGAAAATAGAGCTTTTATCTAGGTTAGCTTCTAAGCCTGAACTTCACTGAAATTCCTTATACACTGGTGTAGCTTTGATACTGAATTCATATCACCTCTGGAGAATAAGAACAAATCATCAGCAAAAATAAGGTGAGCTATTTTTACCTTTGCACACTTAGGATGGTATTTGAATGATTTATCATGCTTCAGAAGATTCAGACTCCTTGACAAGTATTCCATGCACAGAATGACCAAATAGGGGGAGAGGGGATCCCCTTGCCTAAGGCCACGGTCTCCCTTGAAATAACCATGGAGGGAACCATTAAGAGAGATTGAATACTTAGGGGAGGTTATACATGCCATTATCCAGTTTATCATTGCAATAGGAAAACCCAACCCTTTGAGCATATATGATAGGAATTTCCAACTAACTGTGTCAAAGGCCTTCTTGATGTCAACATTTAACATGACTCTAGGAGAAAGATTCTTCCTGCTGTAGTTTTTGACCAATTCATGGGCTAACATAATGTTACTTGAGATTAGCCTACCTTTTACAAAAGCACACTGAGCTTCATTCACCAAAACCCCAAAACTTTTTTAATCTTGTTAGTTAGAATTTTTGTGATGAACTTGTATATACAGTTAAAGCAGGAGATAAGCCTGAAATCTGAACATGTTTAATATGTATTTGAATGGCAACTCGTGGACAAATTTGTTCCCTAACGTGAAACAAATATTTCATCTTGATCTTCCCTGCACTTGATTGTCATGCTGATATGATGATATTTGTTTTGTATTCAATGGGAGTCATGCCATAGATATCGACGAACCTAAATTGAGTGCTGAACAAGATTCTCACGCAACACATTGTCTCTTTCCTATCGATCTATTGGATACATTCTTAATTAATTTCAAGAATACCGAAGTTTTTGTTTTCAATATGTATAAAATCCTAAATAATCAATTCACTTTCAGAAAATATCACTATGTGGTCATATACTGCATTTTCTCTTTCTCTAGAGAAAATATTACAAATCCGAAAATAGCTTGATTTCTTTTCAATCGTGTTTTATGTTACTAATGTTGGTTTTGGAAGTGTGAAGATTGAAACTTGAAGAAAAATCATCAAAGAAGCAGAAAAGCCCCTATCGGTCGACCGACAGACGTGTGTCGGTCAACCAAATCGACTGCAGGAAAACAACCCAGGAAACTCACTCCGGCCGGTCGACTGAAGCTTGATGACGGTCGACCGAGAGTGGTCATCTGGTCGACCGAAGATAGGTTACCGGTCGACCGAAAACGTGTACGAGAAGCTGATTACAGGAAGGTGTTCTGGCCGGTTGATCGACACCCATGGTTCGGTTGACCGAAAGCGGTTTTTCCAGTTTCCTAAATTGTTTGGGAATCTGTTTTGGGCTGGGATACTATATATACCTTGATATGTTTTTAGGGTTTGTAAAACAAGAAAAAAGAGGGTTTTGACGGCTCTTTGAGATTAGAAATCTTAGAGAGAGAGAGAGACGTATTGCGAGCATTGTAATCTTCTTTAATTAATCAAAGAATTATGTGGTGTGGATCCCGAGGACGTAGGTACGTTGCTGAACCTCGTTAAATCTGCTGTGTTCCTTCTTGTTAATATTTCCTACAAATTTTCTTTTATTTGCGATGATTTTCCTACTTGTTAAACTCTTAGCACAAGATCCGGAAGGGCACGAGTTTGATTGATTGTTTCGAACCCCCAACAATTGGTATCAGAGCTTCATTCAGGGGATTTGTGCGAGAGCCATGGCAGAGGAAAGTAAATCGAAGATTGAGAAGTTTGACGGGTCAGATTTTGCTTACTAGAAGTCACAGATAGAGGACTATCTGTACCAGAAGGACCTTTACCGTTCGTTGATGGGCAAGGCTAAGGGAAAGAAGAAAGAGGAACCAGACAAGGACTAAAAATAATTGGGTCGAAAGGCTCTAAGGTAGATCCGATTGTCACTCGCCAAATCAGTCACCCACAATATATTGAAGGAGAAGACGACGGTGGGGCTTATGGAAGCGCTCACGACGATGTACGAGCAACCATCAGCTACAAACAAGTTGCATCTTGTCAAAACACTCTTCAATCTCAAGATGGAAGAAGGATGCTCCTTCACGATGCATCTCAATGAGTTTAACATGATTGTTGATCAACTTATCTCCATGGACATCATGTTTGATGACGTAGTGCAGGCCCTATTGATTCTATCGCAGTTACCGAATAGTTGGGCAGGTTGTGTGACCGCAATTAGCAACTCGGTGGGGAAGAAAAAGTTGAAGCTGAGTGAGGTTGTTAGCATGATTCTATCCGAGGAGGTTAGAAGGAAATCGTCCGAATCAGAAGGTTCAGGTTCAGTCTGAAATCTCAAGCAGACAGGCTGTAGCCAGAAGAAGGGTAACCAGAGCAGGAATCGGTCGAAGTCGAAGAAGAAGAGGTCAAACTTGAAGGTTAGGCCTATTAAAGAGAAGTGTTGGAACTATGACCAGGAGGGCCATATGTCTTCAGCCTATAAAGCACAAAAGAAAGATGCGAATGAGCAAGAGGCTCACATCATACAAGATGCCTTAATCCTTGCTATGGACAGTGATTCTGATTCTTGGGTTATTGACTCAGGAGGTGTTGGACCCTAGAGGGGGGGGGGGGGGTTAGGGTCAAGAGGCTCTAATATGCAATAAAAATAAAACACAAGCAAACCACAAAACAGAAATGCAATCAAAGTAAGAGAGATAGGGTTAGGAATCGTTATCCTTGACGCGCGATGTGTTAACGAGGTTCGGCCCGCTGACCTACGTCCCCGCTCCCCACTCTCGAGGAGAAATCCACTACACACCCGGTTTGGAAGCCGGAACTTCGTCTACACAGCGATCTCACACGATCTCTCACTACACAGTTTGATCTCAACAGATCACACTCCCTCACAGTTGATCTACACAAGATCTCACTCACACAGCAGAAGAAAAGATGCAAGACTCTCTCTTTACACAGCCCCTATGGCAAAGAGAAGGATTACAGAAGCTGGGAAGTGAACACACACAAAACCACAGAGAAAAAACACTAAGAACAGGTTTGAAAATTTTTCTCAGGAAGACAGCGTCTCTCTCTGGTTTTTGCAAACGTTAGGGCAAGTTGAAGAAGAAGAAGTCTGGGTTTAAATAAAAGAGATTAAACATTTTAAAAAACACAACTCAATCTTCCCAATTAAGAAAATAATCTCCTTTTCAGACCATTACCACAGACTGTGCCAAACACGGTTAAGTGAAAGCACAGCAAACGAGGCAATTGACCGTTTGAAAAACAAGTCGCGGCTGACCGAAGAAGATTTCGGTTGACCGAAGGGATTTTCGGTCGACTGAAAAAATGCTTCGGTCGACCGACCGAAAAACCGGTCGACCGCGAACAACAGTGAAAACCCAGAAAAAAGCAGAGCCATCATCGGTCGACCGGCGCGGTCGACCGATATAAAAATCGAGATTTCGGTCGACCGCACCGGTCGACCGACGACCTCTCTGGAACTCAGTAACGAATGATCATATGTGCGGTCGACCGGTCGACCGTATTCTGATACATTGCAGAAACTGATTTTTGACTTAACTAAAATATTTGCAAAATATTTATTTGATCTCTGAAAATTATGAAACTTTGTAAAATGTTTTTAATACTAAAAACAAACTGTTTGGAAAAAGAATTTTGCAGATATGTCCTCATACTTGTGAAAAATAGTATTTTGTGAAAAACGCTTAAAAACATAAGTATGAAAACGTGTGTGTGATTCCCAATAGCTTCAAGTGAAATCAGTAACTCTTTGCCTACATTCTAGCACTAGAGAGAAAATAAAAACTAGCTAATATCCTCACATAGAGTAAAGTTCTTGAGTCTTGATATAGCTTTAATTTTGATGAAGCTTTTATATGAATTTGTTGTTCTTGAGATAACATTGCTTCATCATTATGCCTCCTCCTCCTTTGGATATCATCGTTGTAGCGTATGTTCCATCCAATTCTCCATTTATGGCACTAACAAGCTTGATAAATGAATTTACTATATTTGCACTCAATAAGCCATTAGTACCGATAATGGTGGTTGTAAAACATCATCAAAACATAAGGGCTAACAGGAGGCTAATTCCACGCCACTGCTAATAGGAAGCTTCTTCAGAACTATGTAGTAGGAGACTTTGGGAAAATGTACTTGGGAAACAACGACCCTTGTAGTATTGTTGGAAGAGGCGACGTGCAGATTTAGATGAAGGGCTCTAAGTAGAATCTAAAGAACGTCAGACACATACCGAACCTGAAGAGGAATCTTATTTTGGTAGGCCAGCTTGGAGCGGAAGGCTATATTTTAACTTTTACCGGAGATTCGTGGAAAATCTCTAACGGTACTATAGTGGTTGCCCGACAACAAAACAGAAACTCTTTACCTCTCTTCACATGTGGGTGACACCCTCGTAATTGCAGATGACAAGGAGAGTGCAGATTTGTGACACAATAGGTTGGGACATATGAGTGAGAAGGGTATGAAGATTCTACACTCACAAGAAAAGCCAACCGGTATCGATTCGGTGAAAGTTGGTGTTTGTGAAGACTGCATCTACAGGAAGTAGAAGAGGGTCAGCTTTCAGAAGGGTGGAAGACCACCTAAAGCTCAGAAGCTAGAGCTTATTTATACAGATGTATGGGGTCTAGCTAGCAAGTCTTCTCTTGGCGGTTCGGCGTACTATGTCACATTTATCGACGATCTCTCGAGAAAGGTGTGAGTATACTTCATGAAGCACAAGTCAGAAGTGTTTGGGATCTTCAAAAAGTAAAAAACCATGGTGGAGAACAAGACAGATCTGAAGGTGAAGTGTCTGAGATCAGACAATGGTGGAGAATATAGGCTGAAGGAGTTCAAGAAGTTTTTGAAAAACCCTAATGCTACTAGGAAGTGCTCTGATACCTATTGAAAGCACCCTAATGCCACTAGGAAAGAACCCTAGGGGGGAGGGTTTATGCTAATCTAATCCGATTTAATACCAAATAAAACTAATTAACAAATATCCTAGCAAATTAGATATGCAACAAGATATATACGAAAGGATATACAAACAAATGTAAACAAATATAAACAATATGGTGGATGAATAAAACAATGAGAGAATGACAATAAGGATGAACAAAAATAAATACGCCAAGCCAAACTCAAACAAGCAAAAATAATCACGGAGTTTGGACCTTCTGTCCTACGTCTCCACTCCCCACTCCTGGGGAGAATCCACTATACAACCAGATTTTCTACGCTCACCCGAATAACGTTTACACTCACACTCGGTTTTCTAGTTGATCGAAAACTTTACAATCACTCACAATATAAACACACTAACTACCACCTCAAGTATTGGTCTCTAGTCCGTGTCTCCCTCAAGTACTCGGAATTACTACCTCTCTAGGCTTTACTACCG